CAGAAATGAAGCATAAACCCATGAACCCTTGGGGTCTGTAGTGGGTAAGATCATGAGCTTGGGCATCAGGCGCCTGAAGTCAAACTTTGGCTTTGCCATTTACACATGCACGGGGGCAATTTCTTCACCTTTCTGAGCCTGTCTCCTCACAATGCAACCTGGGTGAAGTATTAGCACCCATTAGGTGCTCAACAAATGGCGTTATTTTAGAACAGCAGCAAGGCGAGAGTCAGGAAGCAGAGTGTTCAGGACCTAAGGTTGGGGCAGGCAGGGGTCTGTGTGGATTGGGGATGGGGTGGAAGAACTTTTTCGTCTCTGAGGACTAGGGCGGGGAGGGCGCGGGGAGCGGCGCCCGCGATCATGGCCTTGACCTGGCATGCCCTTAGGACATGCGCTCTCTGGGCCTCTGGGCTTCTGAGAACCGGGACAGCCCCCAGATGGCCGGCGGGCAGCACACACAGGACGGCGTTAGGACCACACGGAGGAGTAGGTCCGGGGAATCCACAGCGGCTCGGAGAGGCTGAGGGGAGTCGAGCGCGGCCGAACAGCCGAACAGCCGAACAGCCGAGCACTGCCGAGCGCCGCCGACGCAGCCGAGTTCGCGTCGGGTGGGCTCGTTGGCAGCGGCAGGTGAGGGCGGTGCGGTGACGTCATCAGCGCGCGGCACGTGGCGGCCGTTGAGCGCGGGAGCGGTGCTGAGCCCTCGAGCGAGCGCGGGCCACGGCGCCTTGTATTTGTACAAGCGCTTTATTTCCAAACCGGCTGGGGAACGTCACCCACGACGCAGGAGACAAGGTACTAGCATGTGCAAAGGCCCAGTAGCAGGGGGAGGGGGGGCACGTGAATGCTGAGGCCAGAGGCGTGGCCAGGGACCACCTGCAGGCCTGGTGGGTCCCCGTGGGAGATGGGCCTTCTCCTGAGCGCTGCGTGGTCATTGGAGGACCGGGGCTTGGCAATGCCCAACCTCACACTGGGTATGTGTGTGGAGGATGGTAAGGGGGTCGTATTGGGGCCGAACCGTGTAGAAAGTGGAACCCAGGCTTCTGTGACGGTTGTCTGTCAGGTTTCAGGGCCAGGACCAGCGTCGGGCTATGCAGTTTGAGCGCCCACCTTGGGTGTGAATTTGCTTTGTTGAAAACTGTACTCTCCTCTCTCAGGGACCTTGAGGCACCCCAGAATCAAGCCAAGCTTGTATTATTTCCTGGAAACCTGGAGCCCTAAAGTGTCTCTGAATGATGGTGGTAGAGGCCAGGTGAGGGGGATGCAAAGCAAGCCTCCAAGTAGCACTGGCCACACCCACCCTGTGTCAGCCCCATCCATCCCCAATTGGATGCTATGCCTCGTCCCCCAAAGGTGAGGCCAGCTCCACCTCACACAGGTGAGGCTGCTCCAAGAAGCCCCTCTCTGGAGTCTGGGGGCCATGCCCTGGGGTTCTTTTCAGACCCAGGCTTGGGGTCTGGTCACACTTGGGGTTTCTGACTGATGCCTGCCCTAGGGCTGGCCACTGCAGGCCTGGCCCACACTCAGTCCCAGCATTCTGCCAGGTCTCAGCATTCCTGGGGCTGCCCCTGCCTTGCTGTTGGCCTGACCCGCTGGAGCTGAGGGGTCTGGCCAAGGAAGAACTGTACCACCCCCTCCCCCCCATTCCACACAATCCTGATACACACATAATGGGGCAGGAAGCCTAAGGCCACCTCCCCAGGCCTCTCTACCTTCGTCTATCTCTAGCAGTCACAGGATCTTCCAATCCACCATGGCCTACAGGGCCCTGGCCGCTGCCCACTGCCCACTGCCCACCCGTTCCACCTCATCTCCTGCCACTCGCCTTCACTCAATCCCCTCCAGCTTGGCCAGCCTTCTGGAATGCGCTGAACGCATCCCAACGGATGGCCTTTGCACTTGCTGGTTTTCTGCCTGGAATGCCAGCCTCCCAGGCTGGCCTCCTTCTGTCATTCCAGGCACAATTTCAGTGTCCCCTTACAGGAGGCTTCCTGACCTTTCTTTCTAAAATACCGCCCCCCCCCCTCGTCCAACCTGTTGAGTCTTCATCTGAGCACCAGCACTACTTGGAATGTTGTTTCTTTAGTTTCATGTTCAGTGATTTACTGTCTGCGTCCCGGAATGTGAACTCTAGGAGAGCAGGGACCAGACTCCCTCGCTTTTGTTCCTTCCTGTGCCCTCTGGGTTTAGAGTAATGAACGCCTGGAACACAGTAGGTACCCAGTGAATGCGTGTTCTATGGACTCAGCTGTCATTTACTGAGCACTGCATCATTCGGAGATGGTTTGCCAGGTTATGTGCTAAGTGCTTTATGTGCATCACCTCAGGAAGAGGCTTCGGTGCTCCACTTCCTGGCTCTGGGACAGTAACAGTTCTATTCATAAGCTTCAGAGGATCAAGCAAGCTGAGGTGAGGCCTAAGAATATGCATTTTCCCAGGAGTCTGCCTTCTTCCCTCCTCCACTCGTTAAGAAACCAATTGCCTTTAGAGTGGCATGGTCCCAGTCCAAGTCGCGGCTCTCACTTCTGAGCTGCGTGACCGAGTGACTGTACTCTGCGCCTCCATTTCCTCATCTCTAAAATGGGGATCAGAGTCCCTGGTTCAGGGGAGGCTTTGATGCAGGTCTGAGAGTGTTCCCACACCTGCATGCAGTCCCCATCCTGTGGAAGAGCTGCCCCATTCCCATTCTGTGTGCCCCACACTGCCCAGCTCACCCACTCCCAGTAGGGAGGGTACCTCATTGGCACCTGGGCCACCAGCCTGGTCCCCCACATACACACAAACCCTCCTCTCACTTTTCATTCTTGTAAATTGACGTCAGCACTGCTGAATCATGAAGCTGAGGTTTGAGAGAATCTGTACTGCTGGGTAAGCCACATGGTGCAGACTGCCCCCCCCCCAGCCCTTTTCCTCTGCCTGCTGTGTGCACAGGATCTCAGTCGCACGGGGCCTGGAGGGCAGGGGGCTTTTAGGTCATTTTAGGCCACTGTACGTGTTAGTACAGATTTTTAAAAATTACTTAACAGAGAAGGGGCCAGCTCTGGGGAGTGTGATCAGAGGGGGTCTTTATTCTTAGCTGTTTTGCTTTAGCTTTTATAAGAGGAATGGGTTTGTGTAATGAAGATGTGGCTTTTAAGCTTTTTTTAAAAGGAAGAAAAAAACCTTGAAAATATTGTTGACTACCTGCTAATTCATCCCTCTTTAGAGGACTCGTTTCCTCATCTGTAAAACAGGACCTAAATCATATGGCTAGGGCGAAGGTTGAATGTTTTAATATAGGTAACTAGGGGCTTGGAATGGTGCCTGCACAGTAATGCTGTATGTAAATGTTAGCAGCTGCTGCTGTTATTATTACTGTGACCGTTGGGCCCTCATGGGAGGCTGTGTTACCCAGTGGTACCTAGCTTCTGAAGCAGTCCAATCTAAGTTTGAAAATCTGGCTCCACCACTTGCTGTGTGCCCTGCTCTGCCTCTCTGAGCCTCAGTTTTCCCTTCTGTAAAATGGGGCAAGAGGTTTCTAACTCACAGGATGGTCGTGAGGATTAAACAAGGTAGCAAGGACCCTGCTCACTAAGTGTCTGCGAGCACTGCCTTCTTGGATTTCTCCCTGTTTCTCCAGGCACTGCCCAAGCTGGGTAGGAAACAGGGAAAAGTCAGAACAAGGACAGGACTTGATCCACAAAGCAGACAACAAAGGACAGGGAGGTGGTTCACAGAAGAAAAAGCAGCGATTCCTTGGAGGTAGGCAGACGTCACCTCCTTCCCTCCCACCCTACCTTATTAAAGGATGAAATTGCCGAAGCTTCTCTGAGATCCTAAATCTCTCCTGGCCGTCCTTAACCTTGAGGCCTGGAACCTATTTAATCCCTAAGACAAGCCTGGGCAGCTCCAGCTCTCAAGTTAATTTTATGCTGCACTTTCAAGTGTGAAAGGTATTATTAAATATTAGCACACTCCATTATAAGTATATCCAAGGCTGCAGAAGGCCATTCCAACTTCTAAAAATGAAGTGCAACATCTGCTTAACCCTAAACCTGAAAATGACTCAATTCACCTGGTTCGGCAGCACAGCCCTGAGTTGCCAGCTTACCTGTCAGGCCAGCCACAGACACAGGAGTAGCCGTAAAACCCGTGTGGTGGGGACTTTCTGGTGTTGCAAACCAGCCCTACAAGCATCCTGGAGCAACCCTTCCCTCCCCAGGCTCCTGAAATGACCACCTTCTCTGATGGGTTGATGCCCACTGCTGAGGGTTCCAGCAACCACCTCCTCCAGCAAACCCATTTTAGAGGTCCACACTGAGGCCCCAAGAGGCAAAGGGAATTGCCCAAAGCCACCGCAGGGCCCTCCTGCCACCACAGACCACAAAGCCTCATTCTGACTCCCAAGTCGTGCGTTTACCAAGAAGTACACAAGACAGAACAAGGCAGGAAGAAGGCAGGCAGGCCTAACCCTGTATCCCCCATCCCACCTAAAATATGGCTCCCTTGATGCTGAGTTTCAGAATGTGCCACTCCTTCCAAAAACTCATTAAGCTCCCACTCCCCCCCCCTTTCCTGGAAGTTGTTGTGGTCACAGAGTGAAATTTCCTCTTTGTCATCCATTGCAAACAGAGTCTAGGTGGACAGCCGAAAAAGGCCCCAGTGACTTCTTTGACACAGGAATGACCACAGACAAATTTACCCCTGCACTGGTTTTCTCTTCTGTAAAATGGGGATAAGAAAGAGCCTTGCTTCATAGATTTTCTCTATAGGATTAAGTAAAATGAAGCATGTAAAGCTCCAAATAGGTCTTGGCACACATTAACATGAGCTGCCATTTTAACTAGACACACAACACCAAAACTAGACCCACGGTTCCTCTCCCCCCATAGCTGTAGGGGGAACCAAGCAGGGTTCTTGCGCACAGGAAAATGGGCCACACACACCTCCAAACAGTTCAGTCTTAGGGTCCCTCTCCCATGGACCTGTTCAGAACCAAGGAAAATCTTTGAGCAAAGCACACGCTCTAGAAACCTTTTCTTTAAAAAAAAAAAAACTTTCATAATAAAGTTTATTACCTAAACTGGTTGTAAAAAATATAAAATAGGATTCTGCACAGCAGAAAAATAAAGCCAGAGACCCTCCCCCAACCCCTGGTTTGTGCAAAGATACTGGGTATATGTAAACATGAAGAGGTAGGAGGTACAAGTTCAGGTCCTGGCCCCAGATATTTAAGTTAAGCTGCTACTACAACCAGGGGGACCCAGAGGGAGCACCAGGAGGGGGACACGCCCCCAAGAGATGGGGAGGGGTCTGCAGCCTCGTCTCCAGCCGAGAGGGGGAGGCGCCTCGCCCCCCCCACACTGGCTCCCTCCAACCCAGGCGGGGAGGGCACCCACGCGGTTCCAGAGAAATAATAATTAATAAAAAACTATTATATAGCCCTCCAGTTAATGCTGCCTGCGCGGCCGGTCAGATTTGAAAGGGGAAGGAACTCATGTAGTCACGCAGGACGGGGTTGAGGGGGATGCGCGCCAGGTTCTCGCGGCCCACGGTGGCCACGATGCGCTGGCGACACAGCTCCTGCAGTGGCCGCACGCGGCGCTGGCGCAGCGGGGCCCCCAGCATGCGGCGCGGCGCCGCCACGTAGTGCTCGAGCAGCTCGAAGAGGCAGTCGAAGCTCTCGCGGCTGCCGTCCAGGTGGAAGCGGCCGGCCTGGAAGTGCACACGGATGCTCGTGGGGCCCGAGGCCATCTTCACGCTGAGGGCGAAGAAGCAGTTCCGCTGGCGGCTATCGCGCACCAGGAATGTGCCCACGGGCTCGGCGCGCAGCCGCTCGTGCGCCCCGTGCACGCTCAGGGGCCCCCAGTAGAAGCCAGAGGCGTCGAGGAGCGCGCTGGCCCGGGTGATGCGCCGGTAGTCGGCGTGCGAGCGAAACGTGCGGAAATGCGTTTCGCCCGGGGCCGGGGCTGGGACCGCCGGGCAGGGCCTCGGGCGCGCCGGGGCCGCGGGCGAGGAGGAGGATGAGGAAGACTCTGGCCGCCGTCGGGGCTCTGCTGCCGTGGAGATTGCATTGTCGGCTGCCACCTGGTTGTGTGCTACCATCCTACACGCGGGGCCAGCCGGAGGGGTGGGCCATAGCGTCCGGGGGTGCGCTGATGGGGGGGAGACAGAGGCAGTGAGCGGAGAGTCTGGGTGGGACCGGGCAGGTGTGGGGCTTAAGGTTGAGCCGATGGCCCTAACGGGCCGAGGGCATAGAACGAAATCGGCGCGGTCCCTTTGAGCCTCAGTGGGCTCATCTAGAAAATGGGCTTCCCAGTCCGCGGAGGACTTTCAGGCGGTGGGAGCTTGGTTTGGGCGGAGTCCAGCCTCCAGGAGGCTGAGTTTGGGTAAGGGGGAAGGGAGGGCATGGAGAGAGGTGCCAAGGAGAAGCCTGCCCCGACTCTGGCCACCCGGCCCTCGGCTCGCTGCCCCTAGGCCGCCGCCTGCTGGCCAGGCCGGGGATTGGCGCCTCGTCCGGGCGATTTGGGCAAAAGCAGGGGAAAAGCTGCGCTGCGGGAACCCCACGCGCAGAGTGCGGCCAGGGTGGGGCCGGCGGGGGCCAGGGGCGTGGTGGCCGCGACCCCACCACACAGCCCCGGAGGCCGGCCTGCCTGACACACGGCTGTCCTGTCCTTTCCTTTCCTTTCCATTCCGTTCACCCCCTCTCCCTCCCGCTTCCTTGCCCGGTGCCGGGCTCACCTGGCGGCGGGGCGCTGGGCGCCGCGGGCGGGGCGGCGGGGGGCTCCGGGGCGGCTCTCGCGCATGCTCCGGGGCCGGGAGCCGTGCAGCTGCCACGGCCGCAGCTCGCTCTGCTCCGCGCCCGCCCCTGCACCAGTCTTTTAAACCGGCTTGGGGGGCGGGGGGCGGGGCCCGCGACGGGAGGTCCGCCCCTTTCCGACTCCACCCCCTGCAGGCCCAGTCCTCCCGCGCCACTTTCGGTTTCTGTTTCTGCGATGAAGGCCACATTAGCTAAACCTTTTGCACACAGCCGGTCCCTCCCCGGAGAGGCCCCCCTGCCCTGACCTAACCACGCACCTATCCTGGGACCCTTCCATCAAGGTCTCTGGCCCCACCCCTGAACCCCCTGGCTACTTCTCCTATGGTCCCCTCGGACCTGGCTCCTCTACTTTTATTCCTCTGTCCTGGGTCTCAGATTTCTGCAGCCAAAACCTTCAGAATACTCCGGACTAGCCGTGACACACCCCTCTCCCTGCCAGGTGTCTTAGCTCCCATCTCGGCAGATCTCTGTGCTCTTCTCCCCTCGAACCAGACTCCTCCACCCGACCTGGGGTCTCGCCAGGAGGTCTTGGCCTTGGACCCTTCCGGACGGGCTCTCGCCGTCCGTCGCCCTGCCCCGGTATCCCGGACCCACAGCGGCGGATCCCCCACCCCCGCGCACTCCTCCTGGCCCGTCGCTTTTTCTGGACTTGGCTTGGGCTTCCCGGGAAGCGGCAGCCTGTGACCACAGGCTTCGGAGGAACCCTTCAGTAGTGCAGGAGGAGTGCCTCGACTGCGGGCCGAGTTCCTCAGAAACCGGGCGGGCCCCTGCGAGGCTACCCCCACCCCACGCGATAGCTGGAGAAACTGAGGCTCTGGGGAAAGGCTGTGTTTTGCAGTAACTGGCAGATGGGGAGCTTTTATTTTGGGGAGAGGAGCATCTGGGCACCTCCAAACACACTTTGGAGCCCAATGAAAAGATGGTTCATTTTCAGATGTGGTGATTCCCAAAACCTACTTTGTTTTATCCTTACCAGCCGTCCTCTCCCTCAGCGTCTTCCTTATAGGTTCAGTCAAGCATCTGTCTCCGCCCAGCACTCATATCTTGGGTTTGGAATGATGAGGGTTGGTGGTGTGGGCTGTAATTTACATGTAAATTACATGTACTTCTGTGTGTGATCCATGATCCTGTCTGGTGGAAAGGCACGGAGTTGGTACCTGACTGATACATGTATTTTTAAAGGAAAGGAAAAACAAATGAAGGTTGGGGCTGGTGGGTGAGTAGTCTCAGAGTTTGGAGGGGTCACACAGAAGACAAGACAGGCTGGGGCATGGTGGCTGGCTTCACGCTTGTACACACTGCCCTCTGCAGGGAGTTCTCAGGCGGCAGTCTAGCCAGCACTTCTTGAAGCCCTGGTACCGGGCCCTCCTGCCCACCTCCCCCACCCCCAAGCAGAACCCAGGCCCCCTGTGTTTCTTCCTGAACACAAGGAGGCAGCCCAGAACCAGCCTTGCTTAGGACCCCATTGGCAACCTGAATTTGTGTGTGACAGCAGCTAGTGTTGGTCATTGATGTAGTAGTCCTGGGTGGTGTGTGCGTGCGTGTGTGTGTGTGTGTGTGTGTGTGCACTTGTGCAGGGGGTGACAGAGAAGATGCAGAGCCATGCAAGTGCCAGTGGTCAGGTCCTGTGGTCATTCCAGGGCACCTACTATGGGCTGCACCCTATGGTGGGTGATGAGTAAAATATAAAGTAGTGGTTAAATGTCAGACTATGGCCCCAGACCATCCCGGTTCCAATTCTATCTCTGCGTCTTTCTAGCCTTGTAACCTTAAGCGTGTAATTAACTCCACTGCCTTGGTTTCTTCACCTGCGAAACAGATAATAATAGTACCTCCCTCAAAGCAGTAGGTATTAAATGAGTGATCATGGGTTAGTTAAGTGCTTAGAATAGTCCCTGGCATATAATTCAGTAGGTGTTTGCTGGTGCTAATGTTCACCCAAGGGTGCCTGTGGGCGTGGCAGCGTGTTGGAGCCTGCACACACATGGCTTTATTCCTTATGCCCATCTCAGAAGCCAGAGGAGGCACAGGCAGAGTCAAGGAGGCGAGTTTCACCAGAGCAAAGCAGGCCCGTGGATGCTGGCCGTGGGGCGGGGCGCCACTTCTCACTTGAGCTGGGGGCCGGTGGTCTAAGCCCAGAGAAGGCGGCCAGGCTGGGCTGGCTCCTACATGACCTGTCTTCCTGCCAACATGTCTCCTTGGCAGGCCTCTGGGCAGAGGGACATCTATAAATAGCTGATGGCCCATATGTCCCCACCTCGTAGGCTACTTGGGAGAGCCCCCCCTTTTTGCTGGGGACTGGGGCCTCCTTCTCTTGGCCCCCCTTTTGCTGCTACCCACCCACCCATCCCTGTGGAGACTCTTTCTTCATTTCATGTACTGATACCTGTGATGTATTGGTTTAAGCTGACTGTGTGCTAAATGCTTTATAGTCAGACTACTGGATTGGTGCACAACAATCCAGCCTGCCCATTTTACAGATAAAGAAACTGAGGCTCAGAGGGGTTGTCACTTGCTCAGGGGGCAGGGCTGAGATTCACACCCGCGAGACTGGACCCCCCCAAAGCTTTTGCCCTTGTCCACTGTGCTGTAAACTCCCTCCCCCTGACCTGGTGATCTCAAATCCTGGTTTGCCTGCTGGAAAAACAGTAGATGTTAAAGAAATCAGAAATTCATTTGGATTCTGAGCCTGCCTAGGGAGGAGTGGGGACAGGTCTGCCTCTCGTTTATAAGCCTGGGGAGCTCCAGGTCTTGGCATCTAAGCCTCCTTCTCGCCCCTTGTGGCTTTGGACCCTGCTGTCTCCGGTTTCCTTGCCTGCACAGTGGGACTGACCCCGTCCTCCACCCTGACCAGATCCTAGTTGTGAAAGCTATGGTGAGTCAGGCCCCTGTTGCTAAACCCACGTGGGTTCTCTTCACTACCAACAGCAACGGTTACTATAGCTTTGGTTTCATTTTCTGGAGCCCTGAGTTCAAAACGAAACCAAATCCAGATGCCAAAAGGGAAAAAGAAATATGCTGATTGACAAGTATCTGTCCCTTGGGCCGTTCTCCCTGGAGGACTGGCGCTAGACTCACAGGAACCTAGACAGCATGGGCCCCACCCCCCACCCCCACCCTCCCCCAGGAGCTCAGGCTCCACAGCCAGAATGGGCTGCATTTGGACTCCAGGCATCCTGCTTCCCAGATGTGCGACCTTGGGCAAGCAAATTGCCTTCTCTGGGCCTCATTTGGCACATCTGCAAAATGGGCTCTGGAAGTTTTGTGCCTCACAGGGCAACAATGCATGCTAAGTCTGAATGAAGCAAAGTGTCAGGCACAGAGAACGTGCTTAGCACAAGTGACTTCTTGTCACAGGGCCAGCCAGCCCTGTGTCCACAGCTTGCTGGGCCACAGCCAGACATGTGAGATGGATCTCCTCCCACCACCCCACCCCACCCCTCCCTGGCCCCTTGCAGTCGGGAAGTGAAGGGCCAGTCAGTTTTGCAGTTTCTCTTTCCAGCTGTGGCAAAGTCCTGCTGGGAAAAGCAGCCCCTGGTTAGGAGGCATCATCCTGAAACTGTTCTCTGCCCCAGTGCTCCTCAGCCCTCCTCTTGTAACACACGGGGCAGCCACGGTTCCCAAGGGAGCCTGTGTCTCTGGGGAGCCCTGAGCTGTGGGCTGTGGAGCACAGATTCTGCTGTCAGCTGGCCTGGGTTTACATCTGTCACTTGATAAGCAGATGGCCTGGGGCAAGCTTCTTATGTGCCTCAGTTTCCTCATCTGCAAGATAGGGGTAATAATATTTATTTCACTCTTTCGGTATTTATTCAGCAGGTATTTATGGAGCAGACCTAATGTCTGCCAAACACAGGGCTCTCAGGGGTCTTCCAGCAGACCTAGGGGAGACAGACGGTGAATTCACAGCATCAATTCAAATCACATTAGGTGCTATGGGTGCAATAAACAGAGAATGGGAGCCACAAGGTGTTTGTGGGTGGGGGAGGAGTGAGAGAAAGCAGTCAGGGAAAGCCTCCTGGAGGTAGTGACATGGGAATTGAGGTCCTTCTAAAAGTGGATGAAGAGAACTCCAGGTAGAAAGAGCCAGCGCAGAGGCCCTGAGGTGGGAGTGAGTGGCGTGCTGAAGGATCAGAAAGGAGACTGTTGTACAGAGCGAGCGGGGAGTGCAGGGGCGCGGCCTAGGGCTTGGCCCATTGACCTGGTGGGCCTTGCTGGGAGGTGTAAGGGTTTGGAATTCCCTTGCAGGAATTCCAGTAGGCACAGTAGGATTGAGCATGAAAGAGCCCTCTGGCTGCGGACCTTCTGGACAACCGGGGCTTTAGCCATGATGACCTACAGAAGGGCCTTGGAACACGCCTCACGACTGTCCCTGACCCCCCCCCACCCCCGGAATGTCACCACACTAGCCCCTGAAATGGGTGCAAAGACAGTCCTAAGGGAGAGCCAGGCCATTCATGCTTTGTAGGAGAGAGCACGCTCTCGCTGCTCGGGGAGTCCAAGGCCTGAGCTCTGGGGTCCGCCCTCACTCCCTGGGAGACCTTGGGAAAGGCATCACCATTTGCCAGTACCGTTTTTTTTTGGTGTCTTGTCTTATTTACCTTTCCTCACGGTTCTGTGGGGTGGAAGGTATGCGTTGCCATTTACCAAATGAGAAAAGCACGACAGGGAGCTGGTGGAACTTGGTGAAGGTGTTTTGGGGAGCTCTGCTTCATTGTGTGGGGCAAACCCTAGTCCCAGCCCCTCCTGACAGCAGGAAAGATCATGTGTTTTGTGGGGGGAAGGGTTGTGCACAGTCCAAGGGGAAGGTTCCCTCTGACAGAGGAGGCCCAAAGGCTGGGGAGTGATGACATGAGCTGGTGGCTGGACTCCAACATGATGACAGGCTGCCTCCTGGGCAGTCCTGGGCAGACTTGATGGGAACCTTCCAGCAGGCCCATTCATCCCCATGTGACAGGTGAAGAAAGAAGTGATTGGTCAGATGTGAAGTAGCTGGTGCTAACCAGCTTTTGGAAAGCAGTC